ATATATAATATATTTTGTGATATAAAAATTTTACACAATCATTTGAGTTAGCAATATCCACTATACTTGACACCCTTTTTTATCTTTTTTAAAAAAGATAATTTTATAGTGATATCAGATATTTTGAAGTATTCCACTATGCTTGACACCCTTTTTTTATATACATGACACGCAATACACTTGTTTTTAAATAATGAAAAAATATAAAAGAATAATTTTCTTTTTAAAAATACGAGTTCTTAGAAAAATATGATAGATATTTAATAATTATTTTAAACAATATGTTAACAAAATAATATGTTAACAAAAAATGTTTTAAGACTAATAATAAATAGTTTTTTATAAATAGTCGGTTCATGTTGTTTATATTTATTTCACTTAAGCTTCTTATTCTTTCTTTTTCTATTGTTCACAAATATATCTATCCTGCTTTAAATATTGAAAATTCTAAGCGACGCGAACTTAATGTTCGAATGTTCGAATCATTATTTTTTTTTAGAAATATGATGTAATATTCTGCAAATACGATTAACGTACAAATAATCTCAAACTTTTCTTTAACTTGCATACAAGTATAGACCAATAAGAATGCATTAATGTATAGTATATACAAGCATGCGCAAAATGTATTTCCGGACAATCTGACTATTCTACACTGTGTGGGATATAAGAGACACTACTGTTTCGAAGAAAAAGAAAGAAGAAAAGCGTATTTGTTTGAAAAGAAGAAAAATGGAGGACAAGATTAACAGTGGAAACGCGGCCGTCGAGATTGTCGAGAGCAATGCTGCTCCTAAGAAGACCACCAAGAGTAAGGCGAAGGCACAGCAGCAGAAAAAAGTTTCGTCGCGACCACCAACCTCCGAGATGGTAACAGCAGCTATTAAGGAGCTGAAAGATCGCAAGGGTTCGTCCTTCCAAGCGATCAAAAAGTACATTGTGTCGACCTATAAAGTGGACGGTGAGAAGGTTACTCCGTTCATCAAAAAATATTTGAAGACCGCTGTCTCCTCGGGTGCTGTTGTACAGACCAAGGGTAAGGACGCCACCGGCTCTTTCAAACTGTCAACTGATAAACCGAAACCCAAGTCCAAAGGAAAGACTCAAGGCGCCTCAGTTCATTCGGACACGTGGAAAGCTGGGGGGGCTAAGAAGGAGAAGGTAGAGAAAACCAAGAAGTTGAGTGCCGTGAAGAAAACCGCAATGAAAAAAGCTGCGGAGAGCCCGAAGAAACAACCCGCTCAGAAGAAGACTGTTGC